AATCAACTGTCTCTTATACACATCTAGATGTGTATAAGAGACAGCTGAAATGAAGTAATTACCAGGGCATGCGTAAAGAGAAGAACAGCCTTAGTGCCTGAGATTTAGAAGACTACCGTAAGCCTACTCACTTATCATGCCAATCACTAGGATTCCAACTTTCAAATTCAGTGCCTGGTCCGACGAAATACTCATCGACAAACTTCGTCATGTTAGCAATGTCGGTCAGGTTATTAAATGCACGAAGTACTTCGTCTGAAAGTGTTTAAAACAAGTACAGTTGTTTAATAATAGTAATGATGATAATAATAATAATGATAATAATAATAATAATAATAATAATAATAATAATAATAATAATAATATAATAATAATAATAACAATATAATAATAATAATAATAGGCCTAATAGAAATAATAATGATAAGAATAATAATAATAATAATAATAATAATAATAATAATAATTAATAATAATAATAATAATAATAATAATAATAATAATAATAATAATACCGAAAATAATAATAATAATAATAAAAATACCAAAAATAATAATGTATTTACAGACCACATTTATATCAGCGGCACTCAACAAGAGGTGCGTCAATCACAACAAATATCTTAATGAGAAGTAACAACTTAACATGATGAAATATTTTCTATATTGATCTTATGTCGTGATGTTTATGAATAGCACGTTCGGTAGATCTCGCATGTTATGACATAGACCTAGGTTTGAAGAAATTATACTTACATTCGAAGAGATTCGCTTGGGAAAATTAGCCTTACGCATGGGAGATTTTAGACCTACATTTTGTGGAAATAAACACTGATTTTACGATTACAATTTTTATTCAACCATTTAGCTGCCTATGGCGCGCCATATGAGTCACCACTGCTAAGCCTGTCAGGATCTACCTCTACAGCATTCATCATTGACTTGCACGTACGTGGTCTTCGATTATAAATATATTATGGAAGATTAAGTACCCGAAGTCTATCCCAATATATCATTAATTATATAAATGGAAGACGTGGCAGCACGGATGTCTGCTTTTTTACCTTCGGGTCGTATCATTTGTAGATCGACAAACGTCTTTGAATCTTTATAGATGTTCGCTTTCTGGGCAGCCTCTAGCAACGGTCCAGAGCAGTACACCAAGCTAACGTAAAAAATACCCAACGTTACACCAATCAATCAATCAATCAAATTACCTTATTGTACATTTTCAAAACATAAAAAGAGGAAATTCATCTTTATCCGTGTTTTTAGGATTATGATACTATAGCCGTTGAGTGTTCATAGTAACCAATGCTCTATCCACACTAAAATGTCAAGTACATATAGTTTGCTCATTTATGGGTATGATATGACATCACCATGCCCTTATATGGATGTGCATCTTCGTGTTTAATACCTTAAACCATTTTCTACTCCATGCTAAAAATATTACATAGGCAAATAAATAACGGTTTTTTGGAGGGTTTATTTATTTATTTATTTTTTATTAAATTAATTAATTTTTGTAGCACCATAAATAAGTAACTATATTTTAGTTTTTAAGGTTGTTGCTACTTTGTGTTAACGTTATTTTCTGACATAATCAACCACTGACTTCATAAGTGTTATAACAACGTTTCGTGTTGCTTGCTTAAACGTCGGTCGATATTAGTAGTAAGTCTAAGCCTGGTTTGCAATAGTTCATCGGGTATTACCTTCACCAAAATGCCGGCACAGCTTACCTATTACATGGTGGAATATCCGCCAGCTCTTGTGGCCTCACGGTAGCTATAACCAATAGCATTAACGACGCTGTTTGGAAAACCATGTCTCAGTGCGGATTAGAAATTTTATAGCAACAGACAAGTTCTTTATGAAACAAAAAATAAACAAGGTGATCAAAAGCAATAAGAGATGAAAAATTGCAGTACTGTAATCTGTATGCCTAACTATCGAAATGTCAGTAATGACATAAAACATTACAAATATGCTATAAGACCAGGATGCGATAAATTTCTAATGAATAATAAAGGTACATGAATGCATATTGATCTATTTTTGTATTATTCAGCTACATAATTTATATAAAAGCATACCTAACAATGAAAGAGTGCACAGTTGCGCATCTACTATGGCCTGCCAGACAAGATATTCAATAGCATAACTGCAACTAAACCTTAAAATTCAAACGATCCACTTACAGAAACCAGGAAGTTGTAATAACAAAACTCCCTTTTTAAACAAACAGGAACAATCAACTAAAACAATCAACAGGAAAAATCACCGTGCAAATACACAGTAGGCCTTCTTTGTCTATATGCTACTAAACATGCAGAAAAGGGTCGCTTACCTTGCCTACACTAGGTTTCCGTAAGACATTTTATAACAGTGAAATATGGAATATTATGAATACTGATATAAGAATTGATTTTTGGCAGTCCATAAGCAGCAGGTATGAACATGTTAGAAGCAATGTCCAACCCTCTGAGTTGAGACCGATGTATTTGATTGTGTAAAGCAAGAATGCCCATTATCTTCTGTACCCTTTTGTATATAAAGTAGGCCTATATATATATATATATATATGAATTTGAAAAAGGTATCAAAGTCCATGAACTTTGCACCCAATAGGATAAACCGCACATACAGGACATGAAAGTTCAGAAAGAATTGGAGTTATTGGAGTTAGGGGTGGCTAAAGGATTTGCCCAACAAAGACGAGGGGAGGGTCCGATTTTCCCCAGCGAGTGGGCGTGGTCCTCACACCCCTGGAGATGATCCAGGGTTGTGAGGTATCCTTCGGAAACTAGCAATTTATGGGTTTCAAAAGCTTATTTAAACTATATTGAAGTCTACTAATATATAAGAAATAGGCTTAGGCCTACATGTAATTTTCTTTTCTCCCCGCGAAGTGTGTTTTTCTTCCCGATGGGGGCAGGTCCCAACCAACGGGGTTCCCTTCCAGGCCACCCGCACTGGCGCCACCCCTGATAGAAATATAATTCATAACCATTATATAAGTTATTTAGTCACCAGACTATATATTCTTCTTCTAGTAAACTACATTCTTCAAAATAAACTTATTTTCCGTTTTTACCTCCCTTTAAAGAGTTTATTCAAGTCACTTGTTTGTGTTCAGTGGTGTTGCACACCTATTCTCAGCTGGTTTAGGCAGGTTAATTAAGACACTATCTTATTTTTCATAGACATATTTATAGACATGTGTATATAATAATTCATAGACATGAGTATGTTAAAATTATTGACTACGGTATATTTAATGGCTTAAACTTCAAAAACAATGATAGACAAAACTACAGAATATTAGATTTAACACAATACAATTTGTCACTGCCACCGCAACGCATAAACAACAAGTAAGTATAATAAATGCTTATACATGCTCATGCTCCATTTTTAACATTTATGATATAATATTTTAAATTTTAAAAATTTTATTTAAAAATTATTGATAATAAATTCTGCGTGGCTTACATTTAAATAATATGAAGCTTTGAATTGATAAAATAATTAGCCATATACTTCTTTTTCAAAATTAATCATCCATTTAAAACATAACACTCGCTGTATTATTCATAGACATGTAAAGTTAAACTTAACTTATTTTTATTTAATATACTTACTCGTTATAGATATGGTAGAGGTAGAGGTTGGAGAATAACTCGAGCGTCATTGTGCTGAATTGCGTACGGGCGTCACTGGTCCGTGATTACCTATCAGCCATAAAGAGGCGCTCTTATATAGTAGCTACATGCGGCCCCAGTCTTCTTTTGGAAAGTAAAAAATAAAAAGAAAAAAGAAAGAAAGAAAAAGAAAAAAACGATCTCTCAAAAACCCTCAGAGGATATTTTCGGGCGTCTAGAAACCAACAATTTCTCAGGGGCTTGCCCCCGGACCCCCTAGGGTGGTGTTATCTCGATCGGCCCCACTGTTTCCCATTTCACCACTCTTCCCCCCTTTTGGACATCTCTGGATCCGCCCCAGCCCACCACCAAGTAGGCCTAGTCTTACTTTACTTCATAGGCCTAGGCGATCGAAGAACTAATCTCTCAGAGTCAGCGCAATAATATTTCGTTGCCATCACAACACCATAAACATTAAATAAATATATGAAAATGAACATTATGCACATACATGTTTACGCTGCAATTTAAAATTTTTAAAATAATATTTTTAAATTTAAATATATTTAGTTACAGAATTATCGATTCTGTGTGATGATTTACATTAAAATAATGATACAAAAGTCTTAAGTGTAGCCAATAATCAATAATGAGTATTATTCAACAAAAGTGTTTTGTTTATTTTAAATTCATAATTTTATAATATAGAATAATTCATAATAATGAAATAAAGTGATGCAATATAAAACGCTGCGGACTTTTCCTGGCGTCATTTGTCGACATACCAAGTTGTAGGAACATTGAAGGCGTTTTTGGTGGCGGGATCGTCTTTTTATAGATGATCATGGCGAGGAAGTGTTTTCAGTATATCAACTTTATTCTGGTAAGTATTGTTTAGCTATCTCATGCTCAGTGATATCATGCCAGCAGGGTCTCATAAACATTTTCCCCACACATCCCTAGATGTGTATAAGTAGCAACATCATAGCCACGAACAGATTTGCCGAACCACTTCAAGCCAACAGACCGGATAGATGAAATGAAACAATCATACAAGCATCAGCTTGGCTTTGCAAAGTACAGTTACCACATTGGTAGTAAAAACTTTTGAGTGTTTAGAAGAAAATTTGAAGAGAATATCTCGTACAGTATTTATATGGACACCGCAATAATGTGTACAAATGCCTTCAAATACTTACATTCGTATCAGCTAAGCATCGAGTAGAATTATTTAAATGTGTAATCATTTCATTTTCAGGTCTCCTCACTGTTGGTATCCCAGATACAAGAAACCATATGTTCAACTGGTACGTTGATTTAATTACATATTTAATGTATTTTATATTTATTAGGCCTATTATTATTGTTAGTGTCATTATTTATCATTATTTCGATGTTTGTTTGTTTTTTTGTTTTTTTTGGTTTTTTTTTTGCATATTTTATTTGCCCTCCCAGATGTAATTATCGTACTGAATACTCAGTACGTTCCTAACACTGCCACAATTCAATTCAATTTATTGGTTCCACTTTTGATACAGTGGCACTCAAACAAATGCATCCAAGAAACATACAAATATAAAAACATACAGAAAAATAAAATCAACTTAAAATTAAAATTAACTTGAAAATTTAATATTTCAAAATGCAAAAATTTGAATGCTGTACACGGACGTAAGATTTTTTGTATGCGCTACACTATGTAAGCATGTTCATATATGAATACATATCATGCACTACACTGTATAGGCCTATATACATGTATATGCACATCACACATTGAATATATATGAATATATTCATAAATATAATATGATCTTAATAGGATTCTTATTGAACGAAAGAAGGATAACTGTTTGTTAGTTTAGTTAGAGTAACTTAAAAGTCCATGTCTTTAGCAATTAGTGCATTCTAAGGTCTGTTGCGCCATTAACAAATATTTCTCAGGATTGTTGTAAATTATATATAATAATATATATATATATATAATAAATTAGGACAAGCTCGGTGGTCTAAAGGTTAGGACACCTGCTAGTTATTTGGAGGTCGTGGGTTCGATTCTCACCCCAATCACTTGCGAATTTTATTTTCGCAAGTATTTGGGAATATACTGAGTTTTCAGCACGATACACGTCAGGTAGGGCAACAAATCACTCCTATATTATTATTATTGTCGTTATTATTATTATTATTAATAATATATAGTTATTGTTATTTTTGTTTCTGACATTGCGAATATCATTAATATAATAGCATTTATCATAATTAATATTGTTATCCATATCAATTTTATAATATTTTTTTTTTAGTATACGTATTAATAATTACATTAATGTCATTATAATTATGTCTATTATTGGGTTTTTTTACATGTTATAACAATTCTAGGTGATTGTGAATGGTTTAACACTAACTATCTAAACCCAACTTTGGTTTCGTCATACAATTTTTATAGATTGTACACACAAGAAGCAGGGTATGGAGGACGGTGCGATAACAAACGATATGATAACATCGTCTTCATCATTGGAAGGCCATTTGGCGCAAGAAGCGCGCCCCACCAGCAATACCATTGGATGGATTCCTGAAACAACAAAAAATGCCGGACAAGAATGGATACAGGTAAGGATATATATATATATATATATATATATATATATATATATATATATATATATATATATATATATATATATATATATATATATGAATTTTACAGGTCAAGTTCCCATTTGCACACCTTGTTACTGGAATAGTTACAGAGTGGGTGTACGAGACGGATCTGTCGTCTTTCAATGCCAGCGGAGAAGAAACCCAAACCATGTATCACGAGAGCTTCAGAATTGAATACGGACCACATGAGAGCGCCCTCTTGACAACTGAAGAGGTACCGTACGTTAACTTTGGTGTCAAGCTATGAAATAAGACGTGGTAATAAAACACAAATTTGGAATACACTACAAAATTCTTAACCATCTTTGGTAATAATAGAAGATAATAAAATAACATATTCTGTAAAAAAAATGCCAAATCAGGATTAGAAATCGGATCTTTTGCCCTATATGCAGACACCGGTCCAACTGGGTCATTTGAATTCAAAACCGATGAAGGCAATATATATTATATATCACTTTTTTTGTATATGCGGGTACAGAACGATTACTTATGAATGTGACAAGCAATCTTATTAGGCATTTTATACAAAAGACACGTTTTAAATATTCATGTAGAACACAGGATCTGTAAAGAGTTCAGTTTACACATACATAGATAGGCCTTCTTACTGTTAAGGTTAGTCATGATAAATGAATATTACAAAGTGATAATGCATTGTTTTGTTTGTTTCTATAGCTGATCATTTTAAACAGTACGAAAGGTGAAGTAAGTATCTTAAATTTTGTGAATAAAAATCCATTGTCTCCAATTGGCATATCTACTTTGATGATGATAACGGTGGTGGTGATGATGATGATGATGTTGATAATGATAATGATGATGATGATGATGATGATGATGATGATGATGATGATGATGATGATGATGATGATGATGATGATGATGATGATGATGATGGTTGTGATGGTGCTATATACAAATATGAAAAATATGTTTATTATTCGAAAGGTACAAACGACGAATATAGATCCCGTTTATACTCGAATATTTCGCATTATACCTCTAAGCACCACTTCGCAGCAAATTGGGCTCAAATTTGAGATCTTAGGATGTAATCAAACGAGCTGCCAATGTCCTGAAGGTAGGATGGTCACTTGACTTACAATCTTTAATGACCCAAATAAAATGATTGATTGATTGATTGATTGATCGATCGATCGGTCGGTCGATGAACAGGTAAAAATATACGGTACTGTTGTAGATGCTAGGATTACATAGTTTAAATACTGTTATTCATGGATTAAATAAAAAAGAGTTAATCTGCACAGTACCAAACCATATATAGAGTCCTAGGATAATACGATATAGGCTTTGCAATACCCTCAAATTTTCACTACTTAGGCCAATTATTTCATTAGGCCTATGTTTTTGTTTTAATAATACATATTTATCAGAAAATAGAATATTTACCCGACATACGACGCTGATATATCCACTTAAACAGAATTTATTTATTTATTAGGTCAATTCGTAGTTTAAACTGCTCATGCCAGTATCAAGTTCAATCGACACACACATACACACAACATAGGCCTATGTTTGTTTCGCTTAAACTTGGAAATGGTCCCGAGAAGTTCAAACTACGAATTGACTTATTTAAACACACAGAGTGAGTACATACCTCCCAATGTGCCGCATATACCAAATTAATAATACATGTAGGGCATTTATGGGCGACTCCATTATTTCCTTTTATGCTCGAGGGGTAAGATTCAGAAAAGAAAATTCTGACCTTCACCTTATTCTTTGAGTTTTTCACGTCAAAATTATAATCACCTCTTCTTTCAATCAATATGTACCACTCCATTACATTTTATGACAATTCTTGCTCATTAGATTTGTGTAATCCTGTTAATAAACAGGCAGAGACATACCGACAGCCCGACAGACAGACAGCACCGGGCATACAGAAACAAATAAGTGTAAATACATAACCTCCTTGGCGGAGGTAATTATAATACTAATTGCCATGCCCTAACAAACTATTTATATATTATGGTATTACTTAGATTGTTACCACGTGCCACAGGGAATGGCTGATAGACGTATTAAGACCGAACAGATATCAATAATGTACTCAAGAATGATGTACTCCAATAATTATAACAACGTACGGCTTAATGATGATTATGGCTTAACTCGAAATAAAAATTTCCAATGGCTACAGGTATAATATCTTCCAAACTTTTGACATTGCATTTTAATTGTCATTAAATATCAGGTGTTCTTAATTACAAGTTGAATTCATAATCTGAGCCTTCTGTCTACGCTTTTGAACATGAGATTGACAGTTTACCGTAATCTGAATGATAATGCATCAGACATTGACTATTTAAGTGCAAAAAATTCCCTAGTTACAGATGTATTGTCCCATACAAAATACTTTAAAAGAGGCATAAAAGTCATTTTTGCTAATTTTTTTTTAGAATAAAAATAACGAATCTGAACATAACAGCAAGAAAAATGGAAGTGTTTTATTGTTTTTTATTATAATTTTCTAGTATAAAAATCAAGTTTAAAATTCAATCATTTATATACTCAAGTAAATATTAATATATGTTACTGCAAAATGAGCAAGTTCAAATTTCAAAATTATTTATATTTTTTTCTCTTTTCATTTTGAGAGGAAAATACATCTCTAACGGTTAAAACTCTTCCATCGCCTCTGGGAAAGAGAATTCCCTTCTGTATCAACCACCGTGATATCCCTTCACCCAGAAAATGTTTATTTGTTTAGCTGCGATTGTGTAGGACTCCTGTGTGTTTATTAACACAATAAACACATGAGTGTTTCAATGTTGATATTACAAAAATGTTTTTTACTTCCTAGGTTACTTTTGATGAAATACACATCATTTCAGGAGTCATCACCAAAGGAGGTTATCGCTATTACTCCACTGACTATTTTTCTACAAATTATGTGGAAACATTCGATATAGAATTGGGCTTAGAAACTGATGATTTACAACGCATCAACCAGGTACACTAAGATAGACATTTGCGTCCTTAATGTCATGTTCAGTTATTAATTATATAATTGTGAATATGATAATAATGGTGATGATGGCGATGATTATGGTGGTAATAACGATGGTGATGTTGAAGATGCAGCTACTTCGGATAATAACAATAATATTAAAATAATAATATGATAATTCTAACATCATTTTTTTAAATTTTAGACGTTCAACGGAAACACAAACAGAAATACCAGTGTAATCAATATATTTGAAGCGCAATTTTCCCGTATTTTCCGTATCATTCCACTTTCGACTTCGTCATATTATTACGGTCTTCGGCTAGAGATCTTGGGCTGCTACATCACCAAATCATGTGGATGTTTCGTAGGTAAGTATGGTAGCATTAGTCTAAACATATATAGCTTGAAACACTGATTTAATCATTACTATAAGTATTACTGTATTACAGGTAGTTACGTAATTTAATTTTATATCATATATAATAATAGAAATAATAATATTACAAATGACACTTATCTTAATTGATATTATTATTATTATTATTACTAGAATAAGTACGGTACTCAATATCTTCATTATGTTAGGAAATAACAACAAACTTCAGGGTTTGATGGACGGTCGAATCAGTGCTCGCCAATTGTCAGCGTCATCTCAATATGAAATGATTGATGGCTATGGCCCAGCAAGCGCCCGCCTTCAGAGCCACATGAACGATCAGAGTTTTGGATGCTGGGTTCCAAATGGAATGACGAATCAATGGATACAGGTTGTCTCTTATACACATCTTATACTCAAGTAAATATTAATATATGTTACTGCAAAATGAGCAAGTTCAAATTTCAAAATTATTTATATTTTTTTCTCTTTTCATTTTGAGAGGAAAATACATCTCTAACGGTTAAAACTCTTCCATCGCCTCTGGGAAAGAGAATTCCCTTCTGTATCATCCACCGTGATATCCCTTCACCCAGAAAATGTTTATTTGTTTAGCTGCGATTGTGTAGGACTCCTGTGTGTTTATTAACACAATAAACACATGAGTGTTTCAATGTTGATATTACAAAAATGTTTCTTACTTCCTAGGTTACTTTTGATGAAATACACATCATTTCAGGAGTCATCACCAAAGGAGGTTATCGCTATTACTCCACTGACTATTTTTCTACAAATTATGTGGAGATCAATGACAATAATACAGATATTAACGAAAGGATTGAACAACCGCATCATTATTCAATTTTATAGGTTGAATTCTCAGGCACGCTCTTACTAACAGGAGTTGCAACGCAAGGTTGTCATAGTAATTACATAGGCCAGTGGGTGTACACATTTAATATTGCAGTCGGATTCCAAGGAACGGCACTGACAACCCTCGATGAGGTAAATTTTGAGACAGGACGCTTCTGATACAGGAAGTGTTTCAAATGTCTTAGGTCCTGATGTGTTAAGTTATGTTATTTGGTTGTCATCCGAAATAATATTATTTACAAATACATACTACTATTTAAATAGTGCATGCTAAATATATTATACATTTGTTTTTCTTCTCTTGCCGGGAAGAATTGTGGGGATACAAGAATCATAATAATTTATCTTTGATAATTTATTGAGTAAAGTATGGATCATTTTACTGCACGGTAAAAACATAATCGACCCCCACATTTACGACAGAGGGACCACTAATTCTGCTAATGAGTTACAACATCAAAACTTTTATTCCATTAAAATGTGTAGAATTAATTTAAAAAAATATATATATATAGGCCTAATATTGATTTTTCATGAATACATTTTGTTAAGTCATTATAACATTACGAAATATTGTCATTTTTCAGACTTTCATAGGGAATTCTGATGCGAATACAGTGGTAGTGAATGTTTTCACACCAGTTTATGCCAATGTAATGCGACTCATTCCAATATCTACACAGAGTATATTCTTCGGCCTACGTTTTGACATTTACGGGTGCATGATTCCAGATGAGTGTACAAATAACGGTAAGCCAAGTAAATTGTAAAACATTTTATAGAATATTTATAATGCTATAATAAAATTATATTATAGAGAAGCCTATATTATGTGTTCAAATCTATAATAGATGATACAAACGGCTTTACGACGATCACCAACGACTTTACGCTGACGTACGTTTTGGTCTCGAAAATTCGGATGAGTAGTTGGAGGTAATATGACAGTGTGAACGCAAACCCCCTTCAGTTTCGAACTTGGCGTTATTAGTGAGCTTTCGATTGCACGACGACGGTAATGACGTCACATAAAGTTACTGAGGTGTGTGGAGTAAGACTCGAGCGTTAAAAGACCATATAGTAAAATAACATAATGAAATGAACAATTGTGATAAAATCATGATATATTTATACCTTCAAAGAATTTTATTTATTGTTTAAGTATAATTATACCGCCCTTATTTATTAAGACCTACTGAGTATATTATATTTCGGTGTGGAAATCTCATTCTCATATTTTTTCTTGTTTAATTCAAGAGTTTGACGTCAGAATTGACAACGCAGGCTTCATCGAGATCCAGTTAAACGGAAAAGACTGGGGTAGAGCCTGTAAGGATGACATCAATAACCACGAAGCTGACTTGGTGTGTCAATATCTGGGTTATTCAAGAGCTAAAGGACATCATCATTCATCGGACAGCCAATTCGAAAATAAAAAGTTTGAAATCCATTGCGACAATGGTGATTATGCGCTGTTCCAATGTGAGGTCACTGAACGGAGCGACTGCAAGCACAAATACAAAACCGTGGAATGCGAAACATGTACGTACGTCTGATAAATAAACAGTGAAACAAACATATATTTTATAATAAATTATTGTTATATAATATGCAATTTTTAATAGGGAGGTCAAAAGATGGGTGCGCTGTACGACGGTTGTACAACCGTCGGGCGAATCTATCTCCGCCTGACAACGCGACGTCGTCTGCTGACAGTCAAATTGCAGACGCAGACCATTGCAGATTGTTATTAAAAAGTTGGTTGCTCGCTCTTCGTCCCTTTTTTTCTCGTGGAATCGGCGGAGTTGTACCCGACTTAAAGGAAAGAAAAATCAACACCCAAGCTCATGAGCTCCAGGCCGGTGTCTCCATCTCACTTTCTTTACCATTTCGGTCAAACCGTGCAATGCGGAGCGTATGGGGGAAGGGTCGATATTGGATAGCCCCAGTCCAATAACTACCAGGAAGAGGACGGTAGGCCCACTAAGATCAAAACAGCATATCTTCATAAGACACCACAATAATAGCCTATACAGTACACAGGTAAAATAATGGCTATATGCCTAAAACAATCAAAACTTTAAAATGCGCAAATAATTAACCTGCATAATAAGAAACGCTTTGAAGAAAATACTGTAGCAAAACAAAAACTATTTATAAATATATGAAGTCAATCGTCTCTATGAAGCTGCATTCACACCGAATCCGAATTTTCGGATCGGAAGGTCTACCGAACCGATCAGAATTTCGCTTCGAATCCGATGTGAATTCAGCATACACCAGTACCAATTAAGAATATCAGGGGCGGATCCAGAAATGTCCAAAAGGGGGGGCTGCTGTGGTATGTTACCAGGAACACGCCCAAAATATGACCTTCGAAAGATATGCTATATATGAATAAATTTTCAAGTGGACATACATAGTGAAATCTCAATGACACAACCCTAACCCCGCCGAGGCGTATCATTCGGTTAATTAAAATTATATTGATGAAATTTTAATATCCCTGGCCTGCATATTTTACACTGAGCAATATCGTCAACAAACACTTGGAAATTATTGTAAGACAAACCAATGTTTACTTGTTGTGCATGAGAAATGCGTAACACTATTGAGATTGCATGGACCTCGATGTACTAACGCTACCGAAAGTGATTGCGCCAATCCAATAGTAAAAAATAATAATAATAATAATAATAATAATAATAATAATAATAATAATAATAATAATAATAATAATTATTATTATTATTATTATTATTATAAAATTATTATTATTATTATTTCGATGAATAATAATAATAATAATAACAATAATAATAGTAATAATGACGTTATTAATAAGAATACAATACTAAATTAATAATAAAGATGGTGATGATAATGACGATGATGATGGTGATGATGATGATAATGATGATGATGATTATGACGATGACGGCTGCAGCGTCACCACTGCCGCCAACAACGACGTTTGACGATGACGATGATTATATTGATGTGAGAATGCTGTTGATAATAAACATGGTGATGATAACACAGTGATAAAAACGATACTATAAATCGATATATATATATATATATATATATATATATATACAGTATATATATATATAGTTTTTAACCATCCCTTTTTTTGACAAGCCAAATCATTTTTCCCATTGTAATTTTTTCATGTTTTTTTTCTCTCTCATCTCTGAATATTCTCCACCTGATAGGTGAACAATGCCCTGCATCAGTTGGCTTCAACATTACAAGCCGATCTACTCGATATACAACAAATACGCTATTAATAGATATCCATCATACGTTTACCTGCTCTGGATATATTACTGGATGGAAATTTGGCGATTTCTACAATAATAAATTCTTAGGCCTACAGTTTTGCAATGTGCGTCAAAAACTACCAGAGTTGGCCGTGTATACTATTGTTGACTGCACAACCATACGAATGCCGTCCAACTCATCAGACGGTCGGCAAGTCGTCAAAGAATTGAGTCCAAATGATTGGATAGCGGTTCAAGCAGGAGATAGAATCGGAATATATATTAAATATGGGTACATTTTGTGCGATGAGTCAGGTCTTGACGCCGTAAGATTTCTCTATCTATATAATAATAATTGGGTTCGAAAGGGCGATGAATTTGCGTTCAGTGCCTGGTATACTCGAGCATATTCATTTGCGGCTATCATGGGTAAGTCTAGCATCCATAAACGCCCGCCCCATATCATGATTTAAGTTATGGCAATGATGATGATGACGATGGTGATTATGATGATGATGATGATGTTGATGATGGAGAAGATGATAATAACATGATGATGAAGTCCATGATGATATGCCGACGACGATTATGTTAGTGACGACGATAACGCATTCAAAATTATTTTCTTGTTTCAGATACTGGGTGTCCAGACCTTTCTTGGACTTACTATAACAAGTGGTGTTTCCGGTCCAGCAACGTTAATTCCCAACAAGGTGGCTCTGATGACTGTTATAACACGGGGGCCATGTTGATGCCTCGATTTACAGAACTTGTATTTCTAGAGAAACTTATTAGTAATAATACTCCAGTGTGGACAGATGAAATCCACGGTAAGTTTACGGATATAAAACATCTTTAAGCAAAGTGTTGTACTGTAGGACAGGGCGTTTCAATTGCACGCGACTCGACTTCTCTTAACTGCTTTTTGAGATGCCAATCACACTTTGCTTAATTTACGAACAAGATTATAACGACACGCATTTCAAGGAAAATACTAAAAGAAAAGGCCGTTACAACTAACATTATATAATATAAAAGAATAAATCTTTTCGACTGGATAAATAATAATAGGCCTATTCACAAACGTAACTAACAGTGTATTTTTCGGAGGCAAACAAATAGATGATATAACAAGTTATATATTCTGAGATTAATAGGATTACAGTATTGGGGCTGACAGACGACTCATGTGACCACGCACAATTCACAACAGGCAAAAGGAAAGTTATAACAGATACAAGTACAGTATATTGTTTTTTCTAGTTTTAGGAGACGGCAGTAGTTCCTCCACCAGTCTATGTACAAGTGTCAGTCTGACGGAGAATGCAGCCGTTTTCCAAAACGTTTCCTGTGACAAGTATCTGCTTGTTGTCTGCGCCATTTACTTGAAAGAAGACAAAGGTGATGTTTAATTACTTATTTTAAATTAATCAGAAATTTTTATAATACAGTACATTACAATTACGATTTTCATTATATATTATTGTTTTTATTTATCAAAAGTACATTACATTACAGTATTAAAACAATATTAGCAGACAATGATAATGATGATGATGATGACGACGACGATGATGGTGACGAATGATAATACAAATAATATTAAAATGGATTTATATTACACTATTACACACATATCCAGAAATCAAACTCACACATAGAATAAATAATGTACAGGACTAAAGAATTTGCAGAATTATAGTTTTGGGTTTTGTTTTTCCTTTTTCTTTTCCATTAACTAAGCCCTCATTTTTAGCATCCGCTGCTTCAGCAATATATCTAGAAAAATACGTTCACGTAGGCAACCGATTTCTTGATTAATGCAGGAAAATGCACTCTAGCTACGCGACTACTATGTATTGGTAATAGCAATGTATATTATGTTTAATAAAACTGGATTTTTATAACATTCATCAACATATAATTATTTTCCATATGTGAAATAATTTTCTATGTTGTATGTTATCAAATATCATTATTCACTTTACAGTATGTTTAATTCAATGTTTTTCTATCATATATGTTATTTGTAAAATGTTTTATGTGGTCAACCCCTAAACGTATAAAATCTATATTTTATATATATATATGAATGATTCCCTCATGTTTCATATGTATTACTCTATGTTTTTCCCCACGACAAATGTTGGTAATAATACTAAGAGATTTTTATGAATAATGTGTTTTGATTATTTTTTAACATTGAATTATTTTATGTTTACAAACTACATTTTTTTCCTCCAATCAGGTTTCACAAAATGGTAGTGCAGTAATATTAAGTAATGATGTCATTTGAATTTTTAAGTTGTGTCAACTGACGTACGACACTACATGTGATAATAATTGATCTATGTTGGTGCACGATGGACAATTTTTAACTTTTGTTCCTATTTAATAATCTGGACAGGGCTTTATGTAGTACAGTGCTTTGAATGCTACTGTTGAATGATAAAGATCCTAATGTTGATCAAATGCATTATCATTGTCGTATTATTTTCCACCTTCTCCACAAATACCAATATAATCAAAAATTTACTGTGTGCAAATTTAAAATATGATCATATATAATATATCTAATAATTGCAATTTGCTTTCTCTGAGGTACACAATATTGACTTATGGATACAACAACACTTGAGTGTGCGGAAATGAAGATGATGTCAATCAGCATGTGTTAATATTCAATCAAGATGAGAACTAAAGGATGACAAACTTTTGGACATAAATCTGATAAATTTTAATTCAACATATACTAAATGAACTTTTCACAGCAATTAATAAGTCCCAAGTTTGATAGGATGAAATAGAGGGCGTTATCATCTCGCTTCTGATGTAAATACTCTTGTCCATTAAAACTGAATGTTATTGTTGAATCTCTCTTGTCACGCTTCAATGCCTCTTGCCATTGTTCTATTGATTCAGTAACAATTCACTGGTCACAACATAATGTCTAATTCATGCTATCTGAGGTACAGAAAATCTTTATTTGCTAAGGTCTAGATGTAGCCTAAAGGCTTGAAGTCTCCTTTAATGTCGTAACCCACAATGCTTTTCCTTCCTATTTGTTCACCTACGAAAAACCAGAATGCAACTTCCACACATACAAGTGTATTTACCCATGCTTCCTGTAAATATACAAAATTTCAAACAAAATTTTCAATGCATAATTTTAACACTATTAGGGTTAAAGCAAAGATCTTGTAATTACAAGACAGTATTCTCCGCGATTTTGGCATGCAAATTCTAACGCAATGTAGGGCGCCCTCTTGCAAAAGTGATTACTTTTTAACTTTGTCATCAGAAATCGTTAACTGAAAATAGCGCATCTGCCTGCAAATTCTTTAACAACCATGGTAACAATTAGGATGCTCTCTCTTAAGCTTGATTACTTTTTATGCTTCGTTTTAATGATCATCATCATCTTTGGTTAAAGTAGAAAATATGTTTTAACAGTTGAACCTGTCTGTACAAACACCTCTCGTTGATTACCACCTCTTAAGCAACAACTTGGCACAAGCCACTTATGTTTCCAATTCAATCACTGCACGTAAATATCTCTTGTGGATGCCCAACTTTCATAGGCGACCGTGACACTTTTTGGGCTTAAATGTTTTTTTATTCCCAACAAACACAACGTTACAAGGAGGTGACAACAATTAACACATTGGCTTTATTAAATCACAACTTCACATTAAAAAATATTAGTGTACCACAGTTATGGTGGTGTGTGTGTTTTTTGGGGTTTTTGGTTTGGTATCTAATTATTATTAACTGTGTTGTTGGTTTTGATACATTGTGTATCTAAGATCTGTAAACTTTGCCCTCTAACTAAGGTATTGATATTCTTGTGTCTCCATAAAAAGTATTTACAAACCGAACTTACTCTCACGGTGCCCTTTACATCTTTTGATGAAAAAATTTGTCCCCTTAAACAACCCTCAATTAGTAGGTTTTTTTAAGCCTCCTTAAATATAAAAAGTTCAATTAGAATACATTCCCATTTTTTCCAATACATCAAATGTTTGCCACTGAAGAGTCACCTAAAAAGGTTCTACTGACTAATGATTAAAAAACACATTTAGCAAAGGTAACGAAACATAAGACTCATCATGGAGTTAGGTACCAAGTGGTGGTAAACTTTATTTCTGTTGCTAACTCAACAAAACATGTTATTTACCTTGACTGTAAGCTGAGCCCATTTTCCAGTAGTAGCCGACTTCACTACATCTTGGACGCCTTTCATTACTTGAGGGAATTCATTTGGGAATGGTGGTGCTAGCTCAACTTTTGCATAGTACCAGAACTTGGTAAGTCTAGGTTTAGAATACGCGAAAGCATCTACATGAAGAAAAAAGGGAGCAATTAACAGGAATGGAAAAATACAATGAAAAAGTAGGAAATAAAAACTAAATTGAACCCAAGCTTCTAAGCTTCTTGGACCAAGCCATGGCCATGCTGTAAAGAAAGTATTTTTTTTTTAATTGTGCAGATGATACCTCAAAAACTGGCTCAAATATGCAAGAAATTTCGCTAGAGGTAAATAGGTGCCCAGAATTGGGCAGCTGTTCCATGGCAGAACAACGTAACTTGAAATTTTCACTTTGGAGAAAAATAGAGTTAAAGTTTGCATGTTTGAAACTTTGCAATAAATTGTCGTAGCATTTTGAAATTTTGCAGGATTGTATATCTATAGACATTGTGATTACATGTAAAATTTTAGTTACAACCATTTGTTTATTGCAAAGTTATTAGTGATAATGTCAGACTCAGTATTATTGCAAGTGGGACATATTTTTGGAATTTATCATGTTTGGGGCAATCATATGTATTACCTACAGTACCGGACAGTTTTATTGCAAAAATTCAACGCATTCAACCCGTTGCGTTTTCGTTGACAACGCGTTGGCGTTTTCGTTGGCGTTGTCGTTGAAACTGTTGACATCGTTGAGAGCTCAGAAATAGTTGTCTCTTATACACATCTAGATGTGTATAAGAGACAGGTAACTCAGACATTCTGGCAATTTCTTACTGATTGCAAAATGGCAGCCGCTCGGCGTGCTAGCGAACACAGATTCGCTGTACTTATTTGTGGGCTTATTTGCTGAAAAAGGTACTTTGTGAGTGGTTAAATTATGTGAACATGTTTGTTAATTATATGTTGTGACTGTGTGAGAACACTGAGGTAAAAACTTTAAGAATTAAAAGTTCTGGCCATTTCTTAATGATTGCAAAATGGCAGCTGCTCGTTGCTAGCGAACACAGATTCGCTGTACTTATTTGTTGAAAAAGGTACTTTGTGAGTGGTTAAATCAGGTGAAAATGTTTGTTAATTAGGCCTATAGGCCCTATGTTGTGACTGTGAGACTTGAACGTTGAGGTAAAAAAATTAAGAATTAAATGTTAGGTGCGAAAGTGCATTAGCGCCAATAAAGCCAGCCTAGCCTGTAGGTAGTTGGCCTAGCCAAGGCTGGGCCTATCTATGTTGTAGGCCTAGCCCCCCCCCCCTTCCCTGCCCTAGCCTAGCTAGGCCCTCTCTCTAGCCTACCCAGACATCATGGTCTCCTGTCTGACGATAGAGATTTACCTACACTGATTTAAGTTTATGAGTATAATATTATAAAAAGTATGTAAGTAAAAAGTGAACATACCTGATGCAACTTTGGGTCCTTGTACCATGAGAGAAGAACCTAATCGCTGGCCTAAGCCGGCGAGTTTCTGAGCTGCCTTCGCCATTTTCGTCGCCGGTTACTGAACTAAGATGGCTGACATTCATTATGCGCAGCTGCAACCCAGAAATTTTGAAGTTGATAGATACGTTTTCAAATATTATTTTATATTCGAAAAACAAATATAAACAAAAATAATAATATAATATCTTGTTTGTTTTTATAATGCGTTGAAATTTTCAATTGAATATACATTTTAATAAAAACTTCTTTCATAACCAAACATTTTTCTCTATCCCTGGACGATAAATCTTAAGGAGAAGAAAGGGGGCGCTATAATGAAAACTCAAATCAAATTTTTTAATATCCAAAAAGATCAATGATTAGCAAAGTTTGTGCTTATCAAAAATAAATCTAATTTACTGCTAATAAACATGAACAATATAATTATTTATTTTCTATACAATTTGAAAATTAGAACAATATTCTTTTTAGCAACAGACGCGTAAATACAACTACTCTATTAGGCCTGCAATAAATAAATATTTTTAAAAATGAAATATTAAAATCAAATAATATTACAGTAAACTGGGTGTTAAATGTATGTCTTATCAGTGGAATAATTGATCCTTTTTTCATTGTAAAAAGGCAACTTAATCTCTATGTAAAAAATATTGACTACAGTTTTCATGTCAAATATATATCAGCAAAAAATATTTAGACTTTTAGATTGATCAATGCAAAGATGGCTAAGGCAACAACAACCAATATATAAATAGTCATAATACTGTATTGAAGAAATTAACCCCAAAACCGGTACGTAAGGGAGGTGGTATCTGCAGCTAACCACGCATTATAAATCTTAAGAAAGGACTATTGCCTCGAAATCAAGGTAGGTAGGTAGGTAGGTAGAATTGTTATATTTATTTTATACTACTTCAAAGATATCTTTCATCTTTAATAATTAATTTTTCTATAGGGGCTATGCATACATCAAGCCTATCGTTACAATTATACCCCTAATTTTAATCAGTATGAGTTTCATTTTTAGTATATAAAAATAGCTAGCCTATGCTATAAAACGAAAAAAAAAATGACACTCAGTCAAAACGAATTGTTATTTAGTATTATTTTTTTTTAAATAATTAGTGAGTCCACTGTTGTCCTTTATTAAGTATTTCGGCAGGCCCAAAAAGATAAGTTAATATACAAGATACAAGATTATTTTATTGTTACTGATACATAAAATACAAGTAATTGTTTTCGTGTCAAATGCATCTCTGCTAATAAAATATCTCAGTTGGTGTAAACAAAAATATTAATTACATTCATAATTTACACTCTAATTACCGGTACCTTCAAATCATAATTGAATATGTTTGAATCCTATCACCTGTCGTCGCTTTATAGCCATAAATTTAATGAAATACAAACAAATTTATGTTGTAGGACGGACGACCATTAGAAGTAAATCAAACACTATCATTAATTGAGTGATACTCCAGCCGGAGTTTATCAATTACACTATCAAAATCAAGACCATGTTACCAAAACGTCCAAAACACACAGTACACATAGTCCACCAGAAATACGGATTTGAAGCACCGAAGTTGGACATAATTGCAACAAAACGTTTTTTTATGAATATATATAGTTAAATTTTATATCTACAACATACAAAAAGTTTACCAAAATATACCCACGGGAAAGGTGATTTTTATAGCAAAGAAAACTGAACTATTTCACTGGGCTTATACGCCCTGCCTAGGATGTGTGCTGTCTCTTATACACATCTAGATGTGTATAAGAGACAGAAACTGTCGTAGCCAAAAAGAGGCCAAGTAGAGCATCTTAT